AACTTACTGGCTCTCTGCCATATATATGCATTTGCAAAACATATCTGCAGAGTAAAGCATTTTTAATTTTGAGGTTCAAAAACACTTGAGAGATTCTGATTTCTCTTCTGCAGTAAACAGGAGTATAAAATACAATCTCTTACATGTCAGAGAAAGAACCATCTATTTTCTTGGAAAACCAATTTTTTTCTGTATACAATAACAAGCATATTTACCTAAGGACTATCATGATTATTTTGATCAGTATGATCACGCTATCGCCATCAACGTGGTGTATATGTAGCAAGGGTGAAAGTTCAAAACTAACCCTGGTATTCCTTCCTTAGTTATAACTGTTGGAGTTTAAGAGACCATTTAAAATTTAATTATGAAGATGAGACCTTTGGGAATAGCGTGAATGGCCTGCAGCCAGTAAAGAAAGAGCTAAATGGCTCTATAAGAAATGAATGAGAATTTGGGACTTGAGAACAAGTCAGCTCGGGAAGGAAGAGGGCTGAACAAGATGTCAGGATACTGGGACTGAGGTCTGCAGTCAAACTGTGAAATGCTAGGCCTCCAGAAGGGTGTTTTTTTCTAAATGTGTGTTCAGGGGCCTCCCTGATGGTGCGGGGGGTTAAGCTCCACGCTATGAAGCAATCCACAGCCTCTGCAGCATGAGTTTGATCCCTGGCTGGGCCAGGGAGCAATCCACATGGCACAGCAGACCACTCCTGTCTTGCCCACTGCTCCCGTCAGCTGTGTGTTTCAGTCAGTCTGCCTGTTCTGTTCCCCACTCAGTCTCTGGTGAGTCCTCTCACCTCCTGCACCTCTGGCCTGTACCCCAGTTCTTATGTGCATAGATAAATGGATCTTTAAAAAAAATAATATATGTGTGTGCAGTGGTGTCTTGCAGGCCAGCAGTGATCCTGAGAGGGACCCAGCAAAATGCCGGGAGACTACAACCTGGATGGAAGAGATGCAGGGTGATTTTTCCATAAGAAGGAATGAACCGGGCCTCCCCGGTGGCACAGCGGTTGAGCGCTGGGTTGCAAAGCTGCCCGCAGCCTCTGCAGCGCCGCTTGGATCCCCGGCTGCTCCCCGGCCACGGCCACGGGAGGAGGGTCCCACATGGCGCGCAGACCCCTCCTGCTGCCCGCTGCTCCCCTCAGCAGTGTACTTCGGTCCTTCTGCCTGCTCTGCTCCCCCCTCTGGCTCTGGTGAATTCTCTAACCTTCCCGCGCTTCTGACTGTACCTAGTGCTTGTATAAATAAATAAATAAATCTTAAAAAAAAAAAAAGAAGAAGATGTGGTACATATACACAATGCAATATTACTCAGCAATCAAAAAAGATAAACACATGCAGTTTGCAGCAACATGGATGGAGCTGGAAGGGATCTCGCTCAGCGAAATAAGTCAGAAAGAGAAAGAAAAATACCGGATGGTCTCACTCATACGAGGATTTAGAAAATCTAAATAAGGGACTAGGAAAAAGGCTAATTAATACAAAGTAAAAATCAAAATCAACAAGCAACTATAAACCAGACACACACTACGGGAGGGGCGGGGGGTCGGGGAGAGGAAGGATTAGGGTCAAAATAAGGGGGGAGATGCAATTGTATGGGGAATATAACCAAAATGAAAATGCATACATTGTGCAAAAATGAAAAATGATTTAAGAATTATATAAAATAAATATTAAAAAAAGAAATAATTGAATATATGTTGTGCTGTTATTCTAGGCATGAAGCAAAATGAAACTATGTTTCTTCCTTTAAGAGCTCATGTTAAAAATGGGCAAAAGAAAGTGCTAGTTTTCAGTTCAATAATCTTTGGCTTCTGGGCCTCCCCTGGTGGCGCAGCGGTTGAGCGCTGGGCTGTGAAGCTGCCGGCAGCCTCTGCAGCGCTGGTTTGTCCCGCATGGCACAGCAGAACTCTCCTGCTGCGGCCGCTGCTCCCCTCAGCAGTGTGTTTCTTCGGTCTGCCGTTCTGTTCCCCGCTCTGGCTCTGGCGAATTCTCTCACCCTCCTGCGCTTCTGACTGTACCCAGTGCTTGTATAAACAAACAAACAAACAAACAAACAAACAAATAAATAAATAAATAAATAAATAAATAAATAAATCTAAAAAAAAAAATCTTTGGCTTCTGAATAGAATTAGAGATACTGACATTAATAAATGTGTTTGTGCCCTGAGCTCTGGGTTCTGTAGACACCATGTCATTTCTCTTGGTCCTCAAGTCCTAGGGTCAAGATTAGCTGGCTCACTCTTGGTGCTGGTTCCCAGGTCTGAATCCAGGGAAGTGAGAGTTTCATTTTTTCTCTAAGAGTAATTTTCAAATATGGAACATTAGTCATTCCACCCTCATTCCAGTTGAGACATAACTTTTTTTTTTTTAACTTTCTAGAATGTGGACTTGTGTATTGATTCATTTAAATAAATAAAGTATGGTTTGCTTTTTTTCTTTACATTTTTAAAGGACAGGCTTATCAGTAAAAGAAAGGAGAAGACACACAAATGAAAGGGGCAGAGAGAGGGCTGGTTTGCATTTTTTTTAACTTCTAAATTGTGGAGGAGAATTAAGGAGCAATGAGGTTGACTAGTTTATTTTGTTCATTTGATTTGATCCGTTAATTGAAGTCAACAACTTTCACTTCAAAAACTTACTAGAAAAAACATTTGTGGATATTTTTGTAATCATAGGCTAGGTAGGCTCTTTCTTGGCATCATACTAAGAAGCTTAAAGAAAAAGTTTGATTTTTGTTTGATGAATATATTCAAAGCAAACCCAAATTTCAATTTTCAAAATTTAAGAGTAACTCACTCATTTTTCTCTAAAATTTTACTGTTCTTTGAAATATTCTACTACATTTGTTTTCGAAGCACAATACTAGGCAATGATTCATAATTATAACATTTTACTTTCAAGTAGCCAAACCTATGAAGTAATCAGATTGTGAGTCAACAAATTTGTTCATGAAATTTATATAGAAATAACCTCAGGGAAGTCTATCAAACAAGATAAAAATAGATTATGTGGTTAAAAGTATTAGAAGAGAAGTAGTAGAAAAACATGAAACCTTATCTTAATTTCTTTTGAGATTCCTTAACATTCCCCCTACCCCTCCCCTTATCTTTTAACTGACTTTTTGATAGCTGTTAGTATTAGTTACTGATAATTCCTCTTTATCATTCACAAAATATTGCTCGAGTCCTTTGCCCAGACAGAAAGGCTCAGGTGTTAATGATCACCCTTATTATTACAAGCTGGGTTTTCTGTTCATGTGAATTTTTGGCTATTGATTTTAACTGCCGTCGTTAATATAAGTCCATTGATAATTTTAGCTGGCTACTCATATTTTAAATTTGTCTTTTGTGTTTGTAACTGGTGCTTTTAAAGTTTTGGCATTTGAGAATTTCAGTATCTGTACAAGATTTCTGGACTTCACTTAAATGTTGACATTTAAAACACTTGGTTAATCATCAGAGGCATTTGAGGGGGTCCTATGCAGTACTTCCCAACCTTTGTCCAGGAGGACACACACATAACCCTCCCATTAGTTGTTCACAAAACTGTCTCAGTAACTGTCGCTCCATTCCACTCTCTACCTAGGAAATGAAGATTGCAGGTATGACTTTCAATCCAAAAACAAATCTTTAGGAAATATTTGTACTTTTTATCAGCAACAAGTTATTAGAAAATTGCTCTTGACAACAACACTACAAGATGCCTCATGACTCCCAGTAAAAAACACTACTATAGTTGTTATTACAATCCACTGGGAAATAAAAGACAGACCAAAGCACTATCCCCTCTATCATACTGGAGAATAACCCTTGTTGGGACAGAATGTAACCTCTCTATGCCTCAGTTTTCCTTATATTCAAAATGAAGTCTACAAGTCTTATGAAAATATTAGTTTAACATTATTGCTTTGAGAACCTCAATAAGATAGAAGGGAGGGCCTGGCCAAATATGGAGGGAGTCAATTGTGGAGGGCCGGGAATGACAGGCTGAGGAGTTGGACCTTTATGCAACAGAGACCTGAAGATTATTGAACAGGGAAGTAGCAAAATCATCCTATGTGTGACTTAGGAGAAAAGTTGGAAGATTGTTTAGAATGGAGGAGAGTTGAAAATAAGAGAAGTTAGGGGAGTATTGCAAAGGTCCAGAGAAGATATTGAGAGAAATTGCTGCGTAGGGGGCTTGGTGGGAGGAATGGGACCAGTTTAAGAGATAACACAGATAATCAGTTATAGAAAGCAATAGGATTTGGTTACTAAATGGTGTGACGACTGAGGAAGCAGAGCGAAGAATTTGAATAGTACTGTGAGGTTTCTGGCCTGACCATCTGAAGATGTTGATGTTATTAACTGAATATAAGCACAAGACTGTGTGAGTGTGTGAATGTGTGTGTGTGTGTAAACTAGGTAAAGTGGGACAGAGGTTAAGGAATGCTTTTGTCTTGCTTGAAGTGCCTGTGTGATGCTATCCCTCTGGACAGTTAGAGTAGATCTGAGGAAATTCTTTCGTATAAAGGAAAAGAACAGCTTATTTTTATAGTGCTCAATCATTAGCATCCAAACCGGAGGTAGTTATTACCTTGGCAGCAGTAAAAGTTTGATTACCATCCCAGACTGCTGACTTTGTGAAGGCCTCTGGCTCCAACAACTTCAACGGGCAAAATATTAATTGTGATAAATTATCATGTGGCACAATATAAAAATTGTGGTTCCCGGAGGGCGCTGGCTTGTTTTTTTCGCCGCAGCCCTGAAGGAAAAGGAACTGGACAGCTCCCCGGAGGCCCTCCGCCTTCCTCGGGTCAAAGCGGGTCAGTCGCCAGCTGCCCCCGGCCACGCGGGTCTGGGCCTACCAGCCCTCTGTAACCTGGGTGCTTCGACCTTGACCTTAGCGTGCGCGGTCGTCCGTCTCTCGCGGACCCAGGCCCCCTACGCCGCGACGGGGCGGGGCGGGGCTGAGCCGAGGCCCCGCCCACTCTCGCTGCCACCCACCCCCTCCGGCCCGCGATGCAGTGCGCGCCTGCGCCGTCCCTCGCCTCGGAGCAGCCATGATGGTGGGTGTTCTCAGCGGCGCCGAGCCCCGGGCGCGCGGTGGGGGCGGCGGGCGCGGGGCGGGTGCGGGGGCCGCGCTGGCCTGACACTAATGACTCCCTTTGTGTCTCCCCTCCCCTCCCCTCTTCCCTGGCGTGCTGGTCCTCGCCGACCCCACAGGAAGGCCTGGACGACGGCCCCGACTTCCTCTCGGAGGAGGACCGCGGAGTAAGTTCTGCCTTCTCGCTCGCGGAACCCACCCTCCCTCCGCCTCAGCCCCCCGTCGTGTTACTGGGAGGGGTCCCCGGCCTTGAGGCACCGCTCCCAGCCGGCTTTCTTTCGGTTTCCTCGCTGCCCTGCGCCCCGCCCTCCTGCAGCCCTTCCTCCCTCGGGGCCGCTCTGTTCTGATTTCCCGGAGACCCGCGGCGGCTTCTCATCCCCAGCTCCATCTCCGCTGGGCTTCCTCCCCCTCCGGGATCGGGGTACAGGTGGGGAAGTGGAGATGGAGACGGGAGCTGGGCACCCCCAACCCCACTACTTTGGGAGCTATAAAACCCCTTCTCAGACCTTTCTGGCGACACCCCTAATTTTCTCCCCTGGTGGACTTCTCGGACTCGCTCCTGCCCACCCTTTTCTCTCTAAAATAAATATAGTATAGGCTTGTAATATTCTTTTACAAGGAATTTTACAGTTGCTGAATCTTAAATGCTTCTCCAGTATCCTACCAGATTTGAAAAGCGCTGGTAGCCCGCAGACCTTTACAAATCCTCTTAGAGAGTTCTCTTAGTGGTGTCTTGAGGCGAAGTGCATTCCCTTCGGAAAGGACCTTCAGGGCTCGAGTCCTCCCTTCTACTCTCGCCCCGTTTGCCTTGTACAAGTGCTCTTGAAAGATGTTGCTATATGGTTATTGCATCTCAGCAAGTCTCCTTCACATAACGAACCTGCGCTTTAGTTTTCCATTTTGCTTTTACATGTTAGGTAATGTGAGAAACATATCTGTTAGTTGATTTTTGGCAGGTGATAAAATATTCTTATAGAATATTACTGTTTTTTAGTCAGATGAGGTAGTAGTAACTGATGACCTGTATAAAGCTTTCAAATGGTAAGAAAGATGCGGAGGGTGCTGCATACTTTTCTTTTGTAAATGAGGTTATAATTTCTCAGTTTACACGAAAGCATCATTTAGGATTTGTAGTTGGTGCAAAAGCGTCATATAGTATTTCTGATTGTGTCTAAAATTTTTAGTTTCTAATGAATTTTAAAACTGTGTAAATGTACGTGTATCTTCTGAGAAGATTGTGGAGTTGGATGACCACTTACAAGTTATATTTTGGATATTAACATAGGGGCAACCAGTAGACTTCCTTAATGATCTGAGAGAAATTGATTATAGCACAAGAAATTGTTTTTTTAAAATACAAAGCATGTAATCTTTCTTTAGATGACAACTTTGTGTCTTTTTTTTTTCTGCTTATCAGGAAAAGAAAACACAGTTTGCTCTGCTGTAAAATTTAACTAATGTTTAGTGAAATTATTAAGTATGTTCATGTGGAAAGTACAGTATTTTCTGGTGAATATTGTGTTCATGGCATCATGCCTTTACTTTAGTAAGTTTGGTTTGGAACTGGAAGCTTTTAAGTAGTACATCAAAAAAGTCTTTTATATATTACAAAATTAAAATGAGAAGAAGAAAATGAGCATGGCTGACCAGGAGGTTCTTGTAGAATCTCCTAGACGAAAATTTTATTATGAAAATGGAAAAAAATCATTACTGTGAAAGCAGTCAGAATGTCATGATGAATACACACACATGTCCAGTTCTTGTTTTTCTCCTGTGGAACTGAGTGAATCATCATAATAATTATAGCTGGGTATTCTGTTGAGCACTGTATCAAACTTACTTCACTAACCCACATCATCCTTGTGAAGCCTTTAGTATTTAGTAGCCCTCTTTACGGATGAGAAATCTGAAATTCAGAAACTAAGTAGGCTTAGATAAGACAATCAGTGAGTGGGAGAAGTGGACTTGAAACCATTTTTTGACATCAGGACCGCATATTTCCTTTTTTTTTTTTTTTTTTAAGATTTATTTATACAAGAACGGGGGTACAGGTCAGAGACGTGGGAGGGGTGAGAGAATTCACCAGATTGAGCAGGGAACAGAACAGGCAGACGGACCAAAGTCACTGCTGAGGGGAGCAGCGGGCAAGGCAGGAGAGGTCTGCCACACCACATGGGTTTCTCCCTGGCTGGCCAGAATCAAACCCACACTGCAGAGGCTGCGGACAGCTTCACAGTGCAGTGCTCAACCCGCTGTGCCACCGGGGAAGGCCCAGGACCACATATTTCTTAAAGTGGCCTTGAAATACTTTCATCAGAAGCACCTGGGACTTTTGAAAAACAAAAGTTTCTGGGTCTACACCCTAGTTAATCAGTATCTCTTGAGATGGGAGGACAGATAACTTTTAAACAAGTACCCACGAAGAGTCTATTGTACACTGATAAATTTGAGTATGACTACACAAAGTTATCCTATTTCCTCATTTAAGGAACAGAAACATCTGATGTGTTTAAATTTCCTTATATTGTGTTTGTCCTGATAGAAATAGATTGCTGAAATTAGAATTTTTAGGTGTTGCACTTTTAGTTTAGATTATCTTTTTCAACCTTTTAAGAAAGAGTTTAGTTTGATTATTTTAGATTATCTTGTTTAACCTTTTAAGAAAAGGTAGAGGAAAAAACATACAGTGCATATTTGATATGAATTGCAAATGGAAAATTAGATGCAAAAATAATGATACAGGCGTTTCATACAAAGCATGAAGTGAGCAAAATTAAAGTCAGTGTTTGAAAATAAATTTTTAAACAGCTTTAAATTTTCGCCACTATATTTGGAACAGAAGAGAATCTTGCAACCTTAAGAAAATACTGTTTTGTAAGAAACCTAAAAAGCAGACTATTCTTAAATACACAGTATTAGGAAGAAATACTACATTATTTCACTCATTTGGATTATAAAGAAACAAAACAAAACAAAACCAGGTGAAACTGATCCAAAACAAATCCTAGAAATCTGACTATAGAATTAAAACTAGCAGAGGTGGGGAGGTTGAAGGGAAGGGGCCCAGTGGACTATGATGGAAGATTTTGAGTGCTTTTGTGGTAGGTGTGATATGATGTGGTAACATTCATCTAAAAAGGTGTAACCTATATCCCTATATTATATACACTGTTGCAAACCAAGGTTACCTCAATAAAAAGTAATAAAATAAAAAGAATACACAGTACTGAAAATTATTGGCCATTTTTTGATCTCTTAGGCCACATCTCTGCATCATAGGGTACTTTTCCCTCACATTAAGGACAGTAACATATTATTTAGTAAACAAATGAACCCTTTGAACTGCACAGTTCTGATGTGCTTGTTATAAAAGAGCAGTGGGTAGCTGCATAATGACATAATTCTCTTTAGCATTTGATTTGAATTTTAAATAATATGTTTATTTTCAAAATTACTTCAGGTGGAGTAACTACACCTCCCTTGGATTTCTAGTCCTCTGTGTTCCTTATCTTCATTAATGTCATCATTTTCCAGTCATGCTGCCAAGAAACTTCTGAATCATATCCTTCATTGCCATATCTGAACAGTCACTGGGTTGGTTAATTTCACCTCAGAAATGTTTATACCATCTTTTATTTGCTATCTCTTGCCTGTATTGTGGCAATACTAGTCATTGATCTCTATCTCTAGTCTTTATACTATAAAATCCAAACTTCACGTTACATCTGGTTACTCACCTAAAATGGTTAAATCATATATTGCCATTCGACAGAGACATACTTGCACCTTGTAACTTTCACAGTAAGGTCCAAGAGAGCATCTAACACCTTTCATAACTCTTTCAGGCTGACTTTACTTCCAAATATGCCCGCTTCTCAGCATACTCTGTTGATAGTTTTCTTTCTTTCTTTCTTTTTTTAAAGATTTATTTATTTATGCATACAAGAGCTGGGGTATAAGCCAGAGGTGTGGGTGAGAAGGGGCGAGAGGATTCACTAGAGACAGAGTGGGGAGCAGAACAGGTGAGTTGACTGAAATACACTAAATACACTGCTGAGGGGAGCAGTGAGCAAGAAAGGAGACATCTGCTGCACCATGTGGGTCAGCTCCCTGGCCCGGAATCGAACTCATGTTCCAGTGGCTGGTGATAGCTTCATAGTACTGAGACTTAACCCCTGGCACCACCAGGGAGGCCTGTTATAGTTTACTTGTCATTGTCCAAACATCTTTGCTCTTTAATGACTACATTATGCTTTTTCTGGAGTGCTTTTTTTTCTCATTTTTTTCCCCCAAAGAAATTTGACTTCATCTTTCAAGACTTGCCCAGATATTTGCATTTTCACTTGAACTTACTCAGCATTTACTGATAGTTATTTAAGATAAAAATATAGCATAGATTGCGTTGGCAGAGGATAAAATAAATATTGACGGAAGAATAAGTTCCTCCCCTGATACCCTCACAATATAGTGAGGGATTTATGATAAAGTGCCATGAGATGACTAAGGAGATAATGTGTTTAATTTGGGAGAAAGAGGAATAATGTCGACAATAGCTACACACTGACGTAGCATTTATGGCATGCCAGGAACTTTACATATATCAAATCAATTCTCAAATCCCTGGAAATAGCTGTTACGGTTATTCCTACTTACAAGGAGAATAGGTTCACGGAGATTTAATACCCTGCCCAAGGTCATATAGCTAGTACAAGCTAGATTCAAACTGGGCTAGTCTAGCTCTTGGTCCTACTCTCTAATCTATGCTGTCCTCTAAATCAGATAAGCTTGGGCCTCCCGGTGGCGCAATGGTTGAGCGCTGGGTTGTGAAGCTGCCTGCAGCCTCTGCAGCACCGGTTCGATCCCCCGCTGGTCCCTGGCCACCGGAGGAGGGTCCCACATGGCGCGCAGACCTCTCCTGCTGCCCGCTGCCCCCCTCAGCAGTGTACCTCGGTCCTTCTGCCTGCTCTTCTCCCCGCTCTGGCTCTGGTGAATTCTCTCACCCTCCCGCGCTTCTGACTGTATCCAGTGCTTGTATGTATAAATAAATAAATAAATCTTAATAAATAAATAAATCAGATAAGCTTTAAATGTTGATCAGGAATTTTGTAGGCTCTCAGGGAAGAGGAAGACTTGCTAGCAGAGAGGGGAGCTTGTGTAGGTAAATTCA